ATTTATTTATTTATTTATTTATTTATGTATTTATTTATTTGTATAAAATATGACAACTTGTCGGCTACGAAAGCTGAAACCTTAAGTGAAAGCTAAGGGTCGACAACGTTGAGGTTTGGGACTTTTTGATACATGTTAGCGCCTTGGTTGTTGTTGCTGTTTTGTTTTGTTTTTTGTTGTTGTTGTTTGATTTTGGGGGCTTTTTTGTTGTTATTGCTGCTATCGTTCTTATTGTTGTTGTTATAGTTGTTGTTATTCAAAATTTCCTAGCAACTGAAAATGTTCAATGTGTCCCGCCCGCTCATATGACCTTATGTAGTTGCAAGCACAGTAAAACATTTTTATCAAACACGCAACATTTTTGTTGTTGCCGCTTTTGCTATTGTTTTCGTTCTTTTGTTTGTTTGTTTGTTTGTTTGTTTGTTTGTTTGTTATTGTTGTTGTTGTCTTCGTCGTAGTTGTTCTTGTGGTGTTTTCATTGTTGTTGACGTTAATTTTGCCACTGTAGTTTTGTTCTATTGACGTTAGTATCGTTGTTTTTGTGGTTGTGTTGTTGTGTTGTTGTTGTTGTTGTTGTTGTTGTTGTTGTTGTTGTTGTTGTTGTTGTTGTTGTTTTTGTTGTTGTCGTAGCTTCAGACTAAGTTCCTATTACCAACATACTTAACAAACAACACTGGAGAGGGATTAAGACTAAAGCACAATACCAACCACCACGCAAAAAGAGAATAAAGAAAGAAAGAAAGAAAGAAAGAAAGAAGAAAGAAAGAAAGAATACGTAAATAAATAAATGAAAACAATAGATTTTTTTAAAACTTGAAAATAAATAAACAATAAATAAACAATAAATAAAATGAATGAATGAATGAATGAATGAATGAATGAATGAAAGAATGAAACAAAGTTTGGATAACCTAATCAACAAGACAAGTAGCCTAACATGACAGTGACAAAAGCCAACGCACATACCTGGCAACTGTCTCGTATCCAACACCTGTGGAACTGCTGAATGCAGATCAAAGAATGAGAACCTCCAGTGCGTGTGTCTGTACGTCTGTGCGTGTCCGCGAGTGTGTGTCCGTGAGTGTGTATGTGTGCGTGTACCTGTGAGCGCGCGCGGCCGTTGAGCGGGCGTCACCACAGTCCACAGGCCAGTCCCCTCAGTCCTTATCCCGCGCCAAATGTCGTCCAGACGAGGGAAGAAAGTAACGGCGCGAAACTCGGGCGGCCGCGTCTGCGACTAGAGTTGCCACGGGCCGTGACGTCAGTGCGCCGGTGAGTCGTCGGAACTGCGCGGGATATGGGCGTTATATCGGGTACCCATTAGTGGGATCGGGTCGGGTCGGGTCGGATCGGGTCGATTAATTCGGGTTCAGCGCACACCACGAATACTGAATTTGGTTTGCGGTGTACACTGGTTATAAGCCACCACGTCACGTCTCAGTGCTGTAAACAAGGATTCTCTATTACAAAAACCCACCGAAGAATTGTAATATCTTGGTAGTAGAGATCGATGCTGTAAATGTAAAGCGGGAATACCCGGTGCACGCTGCCAAATCGAATTCAGTCGAATGGAGTCGGGTCAGCCAGATTTACCTACACGGAGAGGCAAAATCTGACTACTCAATTCGACCGAATTCGTTCGACTAAATTGGATCGTAACAATCAAAATCAAGCTCATTTGCTTTTCAAGGTCGCGAGTCAAATCGGTAGTATTGTGCTAATATTGTAGCTTCTGCCTCTCGATTGAGGGAAATCTGGCTGGCCCCGACTCAATTCAATTGGATTCGATTGGCAGTGTGAGCTGGATATTAACCCTATCCATATGCCCTGGGGTCATTTTGTACACACGGGGTTGTATTCTTCACATTTTAGAATACTTCTAGTACGAAGAGCTCTTTGATACTTTCAGTATATCTCAAAAAAAATTTTTTACAGACTGCTATGCAAAGCGTACGGCTCGGATTAAAGAATAAATGTCCTCTTTGGAAAGTGGTGGCACAGAGTTCCCCACGTCGTATGGATACGATAATAAAACACGACGCACGGATAGGATATTAAGCACCTCGTCGCGTCCCCGAGCTGTAAGGCGACAAGGTTTGTCAAATAAACAATGGTGGCGGGGGCCTGGCATGAGCTTCCTGGTGTAATGTTTCCAGCGCTGAGGACTGATCGCGAGATTAAGGCACAGTTTATGAGCGGGTGTTTAACTAAAACAACTTCTTATAACGAGGACACTTTAATTTCTTAACCGTTTCTCTTACACTGACAATGACACACATGCGTGCGCGCGCACGCAAACACGCACGTACACACACACACCCACACACACACAAACACATACACACACAAACACACACACACACACACACACACATCCTCACTTTTAACATTCCTTACTTATATGACCTATTTAATAATGTTGCATTGGCCGTAAAACACTTACAAAAACTTTTTAAAAAAAAAACAATAAGGAGAAGTAAAGGGGTCATCAAGCTACAGTAACAGCGTAATCAAAGAAACCCCCTCATCACGGAAAAGGTAGTAAAGAAACCCCACAGCAAGGGGGTATTAACGGGAACCTCCCAGCTCTGTATTCAGCCACACTATCCCATCGACCAGTAGCCAAGGGAGATCAATCCGCCGGGTACACAACACCCCCGGCATAACCGGAAGTCTCTGCGCAGGCCATTGTGTCCACTTCCGGAGGTAAACATGACGGCGTGCAGAAGTCGAGCTAGTCTTCACATTATGTCTGCCCTCACATATTATCTGGGTTGACTGAGGAAAGTTCTGAGAACCGGCTACCTCAACTGACCGCGGGTCCCGAAGGTTTATGTACACATCTGTTGAAACATTACATGTACACCACTGAAGAATTTTTTTTCGTTGCTACCCGGATTCGAACCCGGGACCTTTGAATGAGAAGCGAAAACCTTAACCTCTAGGCCACGACAGCCCC